GAGGTGAAGTCTGTGTTAAGCCATTCCCTTCGGACGGAATAAAAAGTCGTGTACAGGGTAAATTGTCGCCATTTTATATTTTTAATTTCGCGCACGCGCGTTGTTTGTTTTTGATTTTGTCGACTGCAATGTATAGTAGGGTTTTTTTGGGCACTGTCTGTGAGAAAACAAGCACCATGAGCAAATTCACTCCGCGAGAAATTTGAAAACGGTATGCTGTACTGCTTGGTATTCGTACCGGGACCTTCAATACAAACATTTCAGAGTATTTGGAGTGGGGTCAATCTGAGGATAGTGCAGAGGATTCAGAAAGAGTTGGATGAGTCTAATGATGATTACCAAGATGCTTGGATTGATCACTAGTAATGGCGATATTATGCCTTCCATTCTTTCTACAGGGCCTCAGACTCAACACTAAGGTTTCCATAAAGTGCCTTGAAGAGGTAGTGCTGCCCTGGGTCAATACGATGGTTACTGGAAGATCCTGTGTCTGGTAACAGGACTCTGCACCATGCCAAACAAGCAGGAGAACCCAGTCATGGCTGTCAGACAATTTCTGTGACCACATTACTCCTTATATCTGGCCACATAATTCCCCAGACTGCAATCCCCTTGATTATTATGTGTAGGGCGCAGTTGAACTGAAGGCAAGGATTATGGCATCATTGACCAACTTTCATAAGAAGACCGTCTAGAAGAGGTGCAGGAGATTCCAAAGTCGTCTAGAGGCCTTGGTTGAAACCAATGGCGCTTTTATTGAAATACTAAAGAGTATATTTATTCAATATATTTTTGTGCAATTTTGTGAAATATATATGTTGAAATGAGATGCCAGCATATTTTTAGATGACAATTTATCCATCGCACCATGTACTTATGGCCTGCCTCAAAGGTGGAATTACTAATTATCCTTAGTGTCATTGGCTGAGTAGAGATTAAAAAAAAAGTTAGAAATTCACTTTGTGATATAAGGTAGGGTTTACTCACTCGAAATATTGACGCAACACAATCTTCCTATTCCTATTTTGCTTTTTAATCTATACCAGACTACGATGATTAAGGGTCTAGAAAAGGTGTATTCATGCAGATTTTACACATACACAATTCCTACTAGATGCAAATTTATTTTTCGTAAAAAAAAAAAGGTAATTTTTTTTTTATCTTTGTATTATTTTTTTCATTTTGTTTTTTTTATTTGTTTTTTACTTTATTGTTATTGTTGTTTTCCGGTTTTGTAGTTTTTTTTATATCTTTCAATTGTTTCTTATTTTGTTTGTTTTTGTTTTTGCTTTGTTGGGTTTTTTTTTTTAATCTTTGGATTTTTTGTTTTAGTTTTCTGTCTTTTTATTATTTTCATAAAAAAATTAGACTACACAGGAAAAAGCAGTTCAAAATGTTACATCGTGAAAACAATAAAATTAACATAATTCTCTCTCTCTCTCTCTCTCTCTCTCTCTCTCTCTCTCTCTCTCTCTCTCTCTTTCAGCCATGTCCCTTCTGGGTATGCGTGATAATGAATCTCCACAACTTCCTCTCTTTTGTTGCTCTAAGTAACCTTTGCTTTTTGACAACCGCAATTTATCCTTCTATTTTTTCCGTAATACATTTTGACTCAAACTTGTCAAGTCGGTTTCTCGCTCTCTCCCAAAATGGGCGGAGGAAAGTTAAAGGGAGAAAACTCTTACCTTACTGAAATTAACATTAGATTCAAATCGAGTAAAGAAAAAACAATGACACTTATTGATTGGGATAAGAATGCAAAAAATATTTAATAACATAAATGACAATGGACATAAATTAATTTAATATTAATCAGTAATTTGATAAAATTATAATTCAAAAATAGGTTCACTGTAGCACAGTTACATAATTTAAATACTTTATAAAAAAATGTTTTTTTTAAATAATTTAACTGTAAAACCTGTTCAGGAATTAAATTAAAATATCAATGAATTGAAAGAAAAAATCTTTATAACTAGAAATATAAATTAAATGAATCGAACAATATTTTATATATTTATGAAAACTTGTAAAACTATCTTCATTTTTTTTTCTTTTTTAATCAGTTCACCCCAAGCAAGGTGATAATGCCACTAAGATGCAAGGACTTCCGGGAGTGAAAGAGCATGAAAGCGACTTTAGAACTAACCGGAAACTCAATCTTAAACAGGAAACAATGGCTAAACCTTTATATCTGTTCTAAAAGTCAAGGTGTATAAATCGGACGCTTGGCAAACCTATCTACTCCTATAGGTCTTTCGTGGGTACTCTGTTGGTCGCACCAATATTTGTGGATATATATATATATATATATATATATATATATATATATATGAGTAAATTGCTTTTTAAGCCCCGCGCTAAATATCAAATAAGAATTTTCCGAATAGTTATATCTAGGTATAAATTTACATGCTTAATTTGAAACTAATAAAGAAATTTTGCTAAAATCTACCGTTTTGGAGTTATCGACAATAAATTTTGGACTCATTCGCGTGGTTACTGGCGTTGTTTGCATACATTCGCTACTGAATAGACATGCGCGGAAGATTACTTTGTTAACGGCCTTTATTATCTTTATATATATATATATATATATATATATATAGAGAGAGAGAGAGAGGGAGGGAGAGAGAGAGAGAGTGATTTGAGAAAGATAGAGGTTTGTGTGAAGTTTCTTCTGACCCTTTCTTTTTCTTCTAACCATTATTCAGTTCTTCTTTTCTGATTTCGGTGTCGTCTATGAGTTGATCGATGAAGATTCTTGCTGCTCTACTGTTTCATCTTTTCCTATTATTGGCCGCCCGTTCTATAAGCTAAGATGTTTTCTTCTCTTGGAATTTAAAAATGCTATCATGAATCTAAAGTTGAGAACTGCTTTAATTTAAACTTACCGTTCTGAATATAATTTGGATTCTTGGCACACAAACACTTATTCGGGTCATGCTGTATTCAGTTAGGTTTGATTTCAATTTGATGAAATTTTCCTTTAATTGAACTTAATTTAGTAATAGAAATTAATTTCAATTAAAATATTGGTCATAAATCAAAGAAAATGAGAAGTAATGCACTTAGATAGATAGATAGATAGATAGATAGATAGATAGATAGATAGATAGATAGATAGATATGAACAGACCGAAATAAATAGACATGAACAGACTAAAATAGATAGATAGATAGATAGATAGATAGATAGATAGATAGATAGATAGATAGATAGATAGATATGAACAGACCGAGATAAATAGAAATGAACAGACTAAAATAAATAGATTGAGAGAGAGGAACAGATTGTAATAGATTAATTATTCTGATAATCACAATAATATATTTAATAGTAAGACACATCATATTGTGAAATTTTGCATTTTCGATTGTCCACAACTCTCTCAACCACCAAACATCTGATAAATATTAGCAGCGATAAATTGATTGTCGCTAATGTGGGATTATCCCCACTTGTCAAGACGACGTTGGGTGGCGTTGTGTAGGAACTATAAAAACAGGACACGCCTTATTTCTTCTCCTTTTCTCGCTTTTTCCTTCTTTCCTTTCAACATGCGGTAGTAGCAGAGACCTGTTCCCAGATTGGAGATAATATATTTCCCAGACTAACCAAACTCACACACACACACACACACACACACACACACACACACACACACACACACACACACACGCGCGCAAACACACACAAACACACACACCACGTGTATCACATAAAGACACACAATTTTTAATAGTTAGATTTTAATGTCTTATTTCTTTGCTGCTATTTTTGTATACATACAATTATATTTTATTTCTATTTAATCATTTATTAGTTATATATAAAAACATGAAAATATCATAAAATCAACCAACCAAATGTCAGGATATGGTATGTGATTACCTCCCTTGGTTTGCCAATACGTCATACGTGACGCTGTTTAGGGAACTATAAAAATGGGACACTTCATGATTCTTCCACTTTTGCCTTCTTTGCTTTCAGCGCGTGGTTGTAGCAACACCAACACAGAACTCGTCCCAGGCTTGGAGGATATCATTCCCCGGGTAACTGAACTCACACACACGCACACACACGCGCGCGCGCACACACACACACACACATAAGCGTATATCACACAGACAGAGACACACACAATTCCTAACAGCTAGATTTTATTGTCTTCTTTCTTTTCTGCTATTTTTGTATGCGTACAAGTATATTTTATTTTATGTTAATTATTTATTAGCCAATATATATATATATATATATATATATATATATATATATATATATATATATGAAAATATCGCTTAGTTGAAATGTATACCATTTCCTTTCACCTTTAGAAGGAATGACAACCCGTCATTTACATGTGTAAATTTTTATTTGCCACTGCTTTTAGTCCAACTCGAAGTAGAACCTCAACAATAGATTGATAGAATCATTGATTGGTAAACATAATCATCGGAACTCCCAGCCGACAAGGGATACGAAGCACTTGCAACACCAACAATAGTGAAAAGCGTTGCAATTGTTGCTTTTGTCCGCTTTTCATTGTTTGTGGCTGTCTCCGTATTCCACCGGAATCTTCCGAGACGTTGGCAAGATATTATGTATCATTTCTTCGTTTTTTATTCTGTTTTTCAGTTACTCAGTGCACGATATGTCCAGCGAGAAGAGAAAAAAAGCATTTACAAGATAAGGAAGAGAACGAATTGCCTTGGAAAATTAAACGTAACACAGTTGCATGACCAACATCCATTTCTTTCAGATCTTATATATATAAACAGTTCTGGTGCAATCTATCTATCTATCTATCTATCTATCTATCTATCTATCTATCTATCTATCTATCTCTTACAGATTGTTCATATCTATCTATCTAGGTGTATTATTTCCCATGTTCTTTGATTTATTACCAATATTTCAATAGATTCTAGAATTGGAATTGATTCAAACACTTGACTAATAACATTTTTTCTAATACATTTAGTTTGGTAGTTGAATTTTATATATATATATATATAGAGAGAGAGAGATAGATAGATAGATAGATAGATAGATAGATAGATAGATAGATAGATATACGATTGTTTCCGGTTTCTGCCATCTTGGCTCCTACTAATAAAAACAATTAAATGGACACAACTCTCTGAATAGCTCATGTTCAAATGAAAAAATTACTGTTCCCAACTTACAGTGTTTCAAAATAAAACTGCACGTGTTTTCAACTTTACTCCTAGAGGCCGTAGCCCAACATATGATACCATTTTGGAATCAGGCTGACTCTGTGGGCAAATTACAAACATTCCGGGCTGGATCCGGACCCGCAATCCTGAAATTTTGGATTCCCTAGTTTTCATTACTGCGATTGTTTTCGACAATTTTTTTGAATAACTTATTGCGACAAATCTTTTTGTACGATAACAATTTTTATAAATTGGAAACGAATTTGAAAATAATCGAAATTAATTGCAAAATCCAGCGAAAGTCAGCCATGAAGTAAAAAAATAATTGCTTGTATGGAAAGTAAGGACCTACGTATATCAAATTGTCTTTAAAGTAAGTGGCGACAGAAGAATTATCGTTGAACTTTGAAAAGGTGTGCTTAAATATTAATGCAGCGACCAATTTTGAGTTTTTCTTTAATTTGTTGTTGCTTATCGCATTTACTCCTTCCTACCTATTGTGATGAAGGCCCAATCAAGAGCCCTAGGCATAAACTAACTTAAATGGTGCCCGATAGATCGTTAATAATATATTTGAACAATTTCGTTATACATTAAGTAAAAGCTCCGTTTATAATAAATAGTATTAACAACATTTACCGGCCTGCTTGTCCAAGAAATATCATAGAAAATATGTGTCCTCCAACAGGAATTGAACCTGTATCCTACAGAGGATGCGTTTGGTTAGCATGGTCGAATTACTACTTTTTAAACTTCAAATTTCCATGATTTCTCTCGAACTCTCATATCTACTCGAGACGTATCTTAACGTAAACAGATGACGTCATATATTATGAAATGGACTAAAGACGACAATTATTTTAACATACTGTTCATATGTTATTTCTCTGTAGCTAAATGGTATAGTACGTCAGGCTATAAGACGGTTCCGTGCAGGATACAGGTTCGATTCCTGTCAGAGTATACATATTTTCTTTGAAATTTCTCGGAGATTCAGGCCGGTAAATGTTGTTAATACTATTTATTATAAACAGAGCATCTACTTAAATATTTGTATCTATAACAATAACGTATAAACAATAAATATATTAAAATAATTGTCGGACTTGTTGGAACTTGTGTATTTGGAACTTGTGTATGTGTGTTCGTGTATGTAGCATCGCCCATAAATGAGTACACCTGAAACACGTTTAAATTGAAAATGGAATATTGCACTATCAAAACTGATATTATTATGTATTATTTTGTAACCAAACTCTACAGCAGAGATGGGCAACCTACGACACGCGTGGAACGCCAAGCAATTTCCAATGGCACTCTATCTATAAAAGACAGGATGTGTGTGTGTAACGAATGCACGGCCGCAATTTTCGACAGATTTGCACCAAAATTTACATGCATATGCTCCAAGTTAGCGGGAAGGCCAAGACCGACCTTGCATTTCCCAACTCCCATCGATAATGGAAATAATCGATTTTTTCAGGCTTCTACGGCAGTTTTCATGTAGTTTGCGGCCATTTTCTACTGGCCAGAGTGAAGGTCTATAGCTGGCTGCCACGAATAGGCAGGAAGATTCTATTGGCCAGCGTGAGAGCCAACAGCTGACTGATACGAATGTTAACTAGCATGCTAGCATGCAAAAAAAATCGATACCTGCATTCGTCACAAGTGGGAAAAATTTAAATCTGCATGGCATTTTACTCAAATTGGCTCATTCGCTTGCTTAAACTCAACGTTGATTCTGATTCCGCAGAACTGGGTTCGGTGTGAAAAAGTATTTGTTGTTAACATTCTTTTTCCATTCGGTTTTTCCAGTTACGAGTCCTTTTTTAAAGCTGATCGTTTTGTGTTCATTTTGTTTAGTTCTTTTTTCGTAACAGATTTAATGTTTAGTATAGAGCTTAGAAAAAATTCGTAGTGTGAGATAGGCAAGAAGTAAGGCATGTAGCAACATCAGCACGGCAAAGGGCACTCGTTTAAAGGCAAGGAAGGGCAAAAATATTTTAAGTCAAGTGATAGCGATTGCTGTATGAATCGTACGATTTTTGAATCAAGTACGGGCAACGCCGGGCCATGCTGCTAGTTATTATATAAAATATATTGTAGAATAGGTATATTGACCTTGACTTGTATTAAAATACGTATGCTGTTGTTATACTAAATGATTTTAAAACCCTAAATCGTCACATAGCAAAAGGTTGCCAAACCTTGCTCTACAGCATTTCTCTTACGAAAAATGCGAATACGTTAACGTCTAATAATGTGTACACTTCATCGATAAAAAAAAAAGTTTATTTAAACTCAGTATTTGTCTCTCAAAAGATGTCTACGCGCGTGTTTCTTTAACAATCTGTTACGGCTCTCCAAGGCTTGCGTCATCTACTAACTTCACAGCAATTAATCTGTTGACGTCTTCAAGTCTTCCCGACGGGACCTTGCGTCTCGTTATCATCCATTAACGAATGACAGCGTCAACCAAAATTAACATTTTTATCTCTCCTGTCGAGCAACACCTATTCCTCGGGGTGGAAAGAAGGAGTGGGCGCCATTTCCTACAGAAATAAATTCAGATTAGGTTGGGCCCCGTACAAACTCCAGAGAAAAGAAATCATTCACGTACCTCCACCTTTCTTTAACGTCATGTTCCTCACTCTCACCCCCGGATAAATTTGGCATGGAGTTGCGGATGAGGTGAAAATATTTTAAATTTACGACTTCATTGTGATCAAACAAATAACCACAGGTTTTTATAACGATTTCCTTTATTTCTGTTCTTGTCCTTTGAACGGGCGATAACATATTGACGCCTTTTTTTAATCTCATCCTGGGTATGACGATAAACTACAACCAGCAGCAAGGCCTCTGATTAAGAAATTGGAGGTTTTGAGGAACATAGAACCACCTCTTAATTACTGCTGTTCCCAAGTCCACTCTGATTGGGTGTGGTAGCACCTGTTAGGGTCCCAGCTATGGGTAAATAGTGAACCTCAAACAAAAACAAAACATTATGAAAGTATAAAAAATACATTTTTATATAAAAAATACCAACAATACCTTTTTATAGTATATATTTAGTTGAAGCCATAAAATTGTGTTCGATATATTTAGATTTCAATATTTCAAAGTGTTAGGGTGTCGATCTGAGGATAGTGCAGAGGAGTTTGATGAGTCTAATGGTGATTACGAAGGTGTTTGGAGTGATCACTAGTGATGGCAACGTTATGCCCAGAAGGCTTCAGTCTCAACACTAAGGCCTACCTCAAGTGCCTTGAAGAGGTAGTGCTGCCCTGAGTCAAGACAGTGGGTGTTGGAAGATCCTATGTCTGGCAACAGGACTCTGCACCATGCCACACAAGAAGGAGAACCCAGTCATGGCTGTCAGACAATTTCTGCGATACCTTACATCTGGATATCTAACTGCCCAGATTGCAACACCCTTAAGTGAAAAGCATGGTTGAGCGAGAGATCAACAAAACTTCTTCTAACAAGGAAACTGTAAAACTTAAACAAGTAGACCGTCCACAAGAGTTGCAGGAGATTCCGAAGTTGTCTGGAAACCTTGGTTGAAGCCAATGGCGATTTTATTTAATAAATTTACTCTTTTGTATTTAGATATATTTTATACGTAGTTTTGGTAAATATATCTGTTAAAACCGGATGTCAGTTTTATTTTCATTTTGGCGTAATTTATTCATCGCATCCTGTGGAGAGTACTTACTATCACTTGAACCTAGGTGAACAGCAGATGATACTGCGAGGAAAATTCACAATAATAATAATAATAATAATAATGTGAAGATGATGATGATGATAATGATAATGATGGTGATGATGATGGTGGTGGTGGAAAAAAAAATAAAAATGTAACGAGAAAGGCTAAATAAATGTCTGTCTGTCTGTCTGTCCGCTATAGACTCAGAAACTACTGGATGAACTCCAACCAAACCTGGCATGCAGATAGAAGCTAAGTAAAGTTTAACTAGATGAACCCTGAAGGTCATAAAAGCTCAGAAATAGGGCCAGAGACGCCATTTCTCGTGAAAATTAAATCTTTATTACTAGGTTTAATATATATATATATATATATATATATATATATATATATATATGTGTGTGTGTGTGTGTGTGTGTGTGTGTGTGTAAAAAAGTGTGTCTATATAAATATAAATAAATATATATATATATATATATAATTATACTTATTAGAAAGAGTTTGTCTGACGATCGCAAAAAGCGTGAAACCCAGGATCACAAACTCACATCAATCCAACCAAATATATATATATATATATATAAATATATATATATATATATATATATATATATATATATATATATATATATATATATAGTGCTAAGGGAGGTAAATCTAGTTTTTGATAGTAAATTAATGCGTGGTTACTCCCCTTAGTTATTTTAATAACCTCTACAAATAAAATGAAGTGCTTGTGTAATTTTCTATTTAAACGAAATTAATGTCCGGGCAACGCCGGATACTTTTGCTATTAAATAAATAAAATAAAATTAGAAAATGTAAAAAAAGAGTGAAAAATAGGAAATTTAAAACTCTTAGGGCATCTTGAAGGCAAGAGAAGTAGAGGAAAGTAGCGAGTAAACCACTTGACAAGTTTGAGTCAATGAACGGCTGAACAAGTGTCACAAAGCATCGTAAAAGAGCAAGAATTACTTAGAATAACTAAAGATAGGAAATTGTGGAGAACCATGATTTCCAACGTTCTCAAAGTCGATTGCAATGAATCTTGTACATATTCAAATTGTGCCGAATAAATTAAGATTATATACATAAAATTACAATTTATTTCAACAATGGTAAATTAAAAAAATTTTTTTGAAATCTATATAATCTAAATTTATTCGGCACAGTTTGAATATGTACAAGATTAAAATGGGCCATAAATTTTCAGGCATATTAAAAAAAATATTTTAGAATGTTTTCAAAATTTTGATTAAGACATTACATAGACGTATTCTATGCACATAACAATCAATTAGTTAGGCTATCGACACTCTGCAGAGTATGGAGCTATAGCCTCACTATTCTTGGTGTTGCATCAGTTTCCGTGGCTGATACGTTTACTAGCCCCACATTCAACCAGTTTTGAATTCAGAGTTGTTGTTCTTCTAGACTGGTTGACAACCAAAGCAGGAAAGTCTAGTCTACTCTGCTATTAACACCAAGCTGGTCAGGTGGGTAGGAAAGAAATAGATTCATGCCTTTGCAAGGGTAGTTGTGCAAAAGTGAACGTTACGGCCTTGGCTGAAATTTGAACACGCCAGGCCCAATTTCTGCGCGAAAACCTCTTCTTTACTTGAACATCCTGCAATGCATATATAGTGTTGATATAGATTCCCAAATAGGCATCTACGCGGACGACACTACAATTTACTTCTGACTCAAAAACAAATCTAGTGTCGTTGACAAAACTAACCTGGCCGTTCGTCTCGAAAAGGACCTCCAATCGGTTGTGAACTGGGGCAGGAATTGGCTGGTTAACTTTAATGCCTCAAAAACAAAACTGCTCTCTATTACTCACCACAGAGAAGCATCTCTGCCCCCCACCCCCCAATTAGAATGTCTGTTGCTCAACTTCTCCAGAGTTCCCCTTTGCGACTACTCGACCTCACATTGACTGCTGACCTTAGATGGAACAAATACATTGAGTCAATTGCTTCGTCCACCACAAGGAAAGTTGGCTCCCTGTGCCGCGCCAGGAAATTTTTCTCCCCGGAATTGATCCTTCAGATCTACAAATCAACCATTCGCCCTTGCATGGAGTATTGCTGCCATATATTTGTCTCAAGGTTCTTGATAAGATCCAGAGACGGATATGCAATATAATTGGCCCTGATCTGGCATCTCGCCCGCAGTCGCTCTCTCACAGACGTGCGGTCGCTTCCCTCTGTCTTTTTTACAGATACTTTCATGGTAACTGCTCCGATGAACTGCTTTCGCTGGTTCCCAGACTTCATGAATTTAAGCGTTCTACTAGGCTGGCATCTCGCTCTCACTCTTTCACTTTCGAAACTGTTAAATGTAGTCGTCTCTTCTACCCCAATAGCTTCATGTCTCGCACTTCTCGCCTGTGGAACTCCCTCCCCTTTTCTTGTTTCCCTGATAGCTATAATCTCCAACTATTCAAATGTAATGTCACTCGTATTCGAGGATATTCGTCTATTAGAACGGCTAGCCAATATGTATAAGCATCTGGCACCCAGTATTTATCTCACTTTATTTAGCAACGAAAATAATGTTCTAAAGATTTTTCTAAATTGAATGTCTCCATCTTGAATGCTAACCATGTTCCTTTCGCGAACCTCGGAATAAAAGCTACTATCATTTAGTCACCACACACACTCACGTTCACGCATTGCAGCTCACACAAACAGAAATATATCCAAATTTCAAAAATTAATCAGTTTGTTTGACGATCGCAGAGATTGTGTAACCCAGGATCACAAACTCACATCAATCCAACTATATATATATATATATATATATATATATATATATATATATATATATATATTATGAAATGGACATTCAGGTCGGTAAATGTTGTTAATACTGTTTATTATAAACAAAGCATTTACTTAAATATTTGTATCTATAAAAAAGAATGTATAAACATAAAAAATGTCTTAAAATAATTGTCGGACTTTGTCCATTTCATAATATGTGACGTCATTTGCTTACATTTGGATACGCATCGAGCAGATATGAATGTACGTTTGAAAATCATGAAAAAGTGTAGTTTAAAAACAGCAAAATCGACCTTGCTAACCTCTGTGGCCAAATCGGTAAAAGCACGTCAGGCTATATGACGGTTCTGTGTAGGATACAGGTTCGATTCCTGTCGAGGGACGTATATTTTCTATGACAATTTCTCGGACATTCAGGTGGGTAAATGTTGTTAATACTGTTTATTATAAACAGAGCATTTACTTAAATATTTGTACCTATAATAAAACAATGTATAAACATAAAAATGTCTTAAAATATATATATATGTGTGTGTATGTGTATAAATGTTCTTTTGTTGGCATTTTCTCTAAAACTTCCTCATTTCTCACATATTCAGTGCATGGTATTCGCAGTGTTGTTCTAATTTCAACCGTTGAAAGGAATTAACAATTAACAAACACTGCACATCACACGATTATATCTTAAAAGACAACCGTTGAAAGGAGTTATTAACACTTAACAACAAACCCCCTGAAAATGGCTAAAGAGGTGGCCGAAAGCGCTTGGGTCAATAGACACGACGGACAATTTCTACACTCCCTTACCCTCACCAAAGGGAAAAAATTTAAGAATACGAGAAAAACTCAAAATTTCATCATGATTTTCCTTGTCTGTCATATTCAATGAAAGAAAGTTTGCTGCCCAAATATGCATTATATTGGCCATTTGCCATACTAAAATAACTTTAGTAATATCTAAGTAAGAGGCATTGTAGTCAAGAAGTTAGTCTCGCAGGTAATTATTAGTAAAGAGAGGTTGATTCACACTCAGTGTCCCCAAGCATCGAATTTAGTAAATATATGTGCAACGGGGAGGTAAATTTAAATGTGACAAAGTGAACTTAGAAGAAAAGTATATCCGCTTCTAAGAAAATGCAATAGATATCAAGTTGTATTTTTTTTTTCAATTCGGCTTTGAAATAAATAATAAAATAATTTTAAGCCCGGAAAAGTAAGAGGGGAGGAGAGATGGATTCATATCTTTCCAAAGGATACTTGTTGCACGCGATTGAATATAACGAACTCGATTGAAATTCAAACTCGGAATATATATGTATATATATATATGTGTGTGTGTGTGTGTGTGTGTGTGTGTGTGTGTGTGTGTGTGTGTGTGTGTGTGTGAGAGAGAGAGAGAGAGAGAGAGAGTAAACGTGTCTAATATCATGGATAGAGCTTATCTAGCTAATACTAAAAATCTGTGACTGCGTGCGTCTTTATGTGGTGCGTCCGTCCGGCGCAAAATGATTTAAGTTAATCTGATTTAAGTGAATAAGTTTTAAAAATACGAGTTGTTTATACAGTAAGTATTTTTATTTTAACTTTCTTCAAACAGACACTTTTTTAATTAGAATATTTTAAAGTTAAAGACAGACACAAAAAGATCCCGCTTAGCTGTTTCGTCCAGTTGTTTGTAGAGTAATTATTTATATTTCACCATTTTTTAAACAAAAATTATTTTAAATATTTAAAAATATTTTTAGTCATATTTAAAAAATATTTACAGGTGAATATGATTTAAAAAATATTTTTGTCATATAAGAAAATATTTTTAAGTTAATCTGATTTAAAAAAATAATTTAAGTGAATAAGATTTAAAAATACGAGTTGTTTATATAATAAGTATTTTTATTTCAACTTTCTTCAGACAGACAATTTTTTAATGTTAAAATCAACTTCAATGTTTTATGACCTAAACCTTCAGTGACCCAACTGGTCACGGGTATTCTAGTGTAAATATAAAAAACTGAAGTCAACATCGAGCACCGACAGAGCGTATATATATATATATATATATATATATATATATATATATATATATATATATGAAGAAAAATATACTGAAAAAACAAACGAAAATCCTAATATGCGATTGTGCTGTTTTAATGTTTAATGTTAACATCGAACGTTTCGGTCTAATAGACCATCTTCAGAACATATTCATAAAACATAATTAACATAAAAACATAATTAACATAAAAACATAATTAACATAAAAACATTAAAACAGCATAATCGCATATTAGGATTTTCGTTTGTTTTTTCAGTATATTTTTCTTCATACTGTCGGATCTATATCCATATATTTATATATATATATATATATATATATATATATATATATAACTCTGGTTTGACTATTAATGTATTGACTGATTCCATTTGAGGCGATGTTCGAATGTTAAAGTCTTAAGTCTGACTTTCAGCTTTTAGTCTTGAAATCGAACCATTGAGTAAAAACCTACAAATGAACCGTGCAAAATACAAACGCTACTGATGCAGAGGGAAAACAAAATAGGAGCTTAGAGTCGCCCCTTGAACCGCTGTTATATAAATATTACACCAGAACACCTCACACCCCCCCCCTCAAAAAAAATGGATTAGAAAAATCGTTTAACTTCATCTTACCTCGTTGTTCGGCTTCTTCTCCGTCGCCGTCGTAGCGGCATTCATTTTCCATGGAGCGGGTGGCATCTACAGGTGAGCCGTCTTCTACTTCATCATCCCACGGGTGCACTTTTATATTCACCTCGTTTCCGACAGACTCGACGGCACACATGACGGCCCATGGCGATGAAACCGGATAGGATTTACGGTATCTGGTTAAGCTATTCGATTTCATGATAGATGAATTGATGCTGTTCAGGTAGATTGGCCCCAAGTACGACACAATCCTCTCCTCTTTATCACTCCCGTTTTTCCCTTCTTTCTTTCGTCTTCGTACGGGGGGTAACGGTGCATCGTCTTGATCATTTTCCTTATTCGAGAATGGAGAATCGTCCATACCGCCGAAAGCAGGACGAATTCTTCTATCTTTTTCGACTTCTAAGTAGTGTTCGTAACGATCAATTTCCATATCAGGAAAACAGCATCAGTAAACGACCATCAGTGGCCGATATATTCAGCTTTACTTTTCTTTTTATCGCTTTTCAGACGCAGGCAAGACGATGGCGATCGAAAATTCTGTTATATTGAGAACAGTCAAGATAATGCTCCGTACAAATAGGACTGAAGATGTCGAATAGTTCGTTATTTTCGATAAGAAATGAAATTAATTTCAAAGGAAAATAATAAAATATTACTTTCTCGCTAGGAAAATAAAGATTTCTCTTGAATTGGTCAACAACTACACTCACAAAAACTAAATCCGTTTTTAAATTAACACTTGTTTATATCTTTCCTTTTCTTAGTCACTCTCATTCCTTTATTTCCTTTCTCTCTCCTTCTCACCCTCTCTCGCTCTCTCTTTCCCTGTGTGCGTGCTCTGAAATCTCTCTCTTTCTATATTTCTCTCTCTCTCTTTCTATATTTCTCTCTCTCTCTCTCTCTCTCTCTCTCTCTCTCTCTCTGCGCACTGAAGTCTGTGTGTGCGTGTGTATGTATGTGTGAATTTCTGAATATATATATATATATATATATATATACATACATATATATATATATATATATATATATATATATATATATATATATATATATATATATATATGTATATCGAATGGAGGTTGTTAATCTTTCCAGTCGTTGCTTTCCTTAGGCATGGCGACACTCTGAAAGATCCGGACCGGATATGAGTGACTTGGCTTCGACGCTCTCGTCTTATCAGAACCTACTCACTCTTGGAAAATAACAAGGTCCCGCCAAACGGATGTTGGAATTGAAAGATAAATCCACACAGAAACACAATCGTGAACAACCGAGAGAAAGACATAGGCTAGTGCTATACAGATTTACTAATATACAAAAATTGAAAGATAAAATCTACTCGCATATAGTTAAGAACAAAATTATTAGTCTGCCTATGAAAATAGAATTCTTTTTAAAATTTTTACCAAGTGCATTTTAACAGAACAAATATTGCTAAATATACTATGTATTTTTAGGAGTAACTTTCATTTTTTTTTTAATGCACAACAGTATTATTCCGAACAAAACTCAATTATAATTAGCCCTCCTTAAGAATTCTCTGTTTTATTGACGGATAGCCAAGGCCGGATTATGACCTTTAAGGACTCCTAGAGTAATGAAATTATCATACAGCCACTCTGTAACTCGCCTGTACATGTCTTTAATATTTTTTACTCGTGATATATTTTACCGACATTTACATAGTATGAAGTAAATTTATTGCAAATTCTTGAAATAGCTATCTTTTTGTCAATAAAATATTCTTTAAGAAATACCAGCATTTTACTGTTTATTGCAAACCAAATTAGCACTTGTTTCAAAAGAATCGTAATGAAAAACAAAATTTTTATTACAAGCATTATGACAATAAAACCATCAAAATAAATATGAGTTTGTTATATTGATATCATTTCAATTCAGGAAATTATTTATATAAATTCTGGAAAATAAAACTGATTGCTTTATGAAAGCTTGAGGGCCCCTAGGATGCAGCCTATACTAGCCTAAAGGATAATCTGGCCCTGGGTATAGCACAAATCCAGTCAGTTATGCGTCATGCGTTCAGTCAGTACTTTCTGAGCGACTGTTCGGTTATACTCTCTTCCTACGGGCGGGAGGAACCCGAAGGAGGCTACGCCGAAGAGCGGAGTCTCCTTCGGGGAGGTAAAACCGGCCCTGAACCCGTTTATACGGGTTCAAATGGTCTATTTTTTGGCCGAGCCTAATGGCTCGGGAATTCCCACGTTAAAAAGGCCTTGTGCCACATGACACCCTCGTGGGGGGGGGGACTGAATATCGTCATGCGTGATACACGCTTAGGCGATCATGTCTCTTCCGATACATGACTGACAAGGTTGCCATTTCTTTTTATGGTAGACCACTTGCCATCCTGCTATTTACCCATAACTGGGCGGGGGGAGAAGAGAATTCATAGCTTTCCCTAAGGGTTCTAGCAAGTGAATGTAATGGATTCAACTGGAATTCAAGCCACTCTCCTTTACTCCATCGTGCCTCCCTAAATTACTGTTGTATAATGATGTGCTTTAACTTACTAATGTATGGAATTTAAGAGATGCATGTGCGTTGTAGATGGGATGTGTGTTCATATGTAAATATGTAAATAATAAGAAGTGTACAAAGATTTAGGTTTCTGCTACGGACCACTTAGTCTTTTCTATAGTGACTGTAGAGAAAGAAAGTTTTCAATGTCTCTTGGATATGTTCGTTTTCTTTTTCTGGTCCAGACGTAATTAAGGATAAGTAAGGATGAAAATGGTTAAAATGGTCGAGCTCAAGTCAGCCTTGCACCTAGTTGGAACGACCAAAGAAAAGGTTGATTTACTTCATAGGTAGAGGTTTTGGAAGGCAGTTGAGAACGCCTTGCGTTGGAAAGTGGAAAGAGAGTTCAGTCGTGAGCGAACCAGGAAAACGAACGTGCCCCAGTGTGGCGTCCTTTTTCCACGTGGTGTTACACCTTGGAGCAAGAAAGAGAAAGAGAGGGGAATGAAAATGTTTGTCTTTTTATAGATTTGAACAGCGCCGCCTAACTAACGTTTGTCGAAGCCTAGTGGGGTAATAAATTTTCTAGTTCCTTTATTACTAGCATAATGGGGAAATGTATTTATTTTTTAATTTTTATTCATTATTATTATCTTGTTTAATGGTTTTATTTCATTTTCCCACATATGCTTTAAGCTTGTGAAATGAAGTTAACACTGAGGTTTATACATACAGCATCATACCAATTTAAGTAAGGTTTTGTTCTGTCATTTGTGAAAGTATCATGTCAGAAACAAAAAAAATAGTTTCCACGGGGGGGGGGGAGACAATTATTGACGCTCACAAAGCAGAAGGATATATATATTTATTAAAGCTTGGAACTGAAATCTCAAAAAGGGCAGTCACTTGAGCCATGCACAGAAATGGACTACGAGCTTACAGATGAAGCGAAATGATTTATTTTCCTGCATTTTTGCTGTTTCTCTTTCGCTGGACATTTTTTAAAATCATGTTTTTATTACATTTACGGCAATTTTTGTTGTTATTTCCAAATTTTCTTTTCGTGTCTCGTAGGTTTCTCTGGATTTTAAAATTTCGTCTACATTGTATTTCTTCCATTTCAGATTTTATTTGCTCACTGCTCCCGGCCATCTCCGTAGCTTTCTCGAGTTTGAAATCAGGAATTAATTATAATCTTTCGTATAGGTCTTTATTCTGTATTCCTATCACAAGACAGTCTCTGATTTGGTCATTTTTCGTTGGAAACTCACACTCTTCTGTTAATTCTTACAATGCGCAAATAAAGGTTTCCACTGTTCCTTCTGGTAATTGAACTCGAAGATAAAATTTTGCCATTTCATGAATTATATTTCTTTTAGACATGAAGTCGGCATTGAATTTTCCAAAACTAAGTCGTACACATTTGCGTCTTCTCGTCGTGAGAAAGAAAATATATTTTCGGCTTCGCTTCCCATGCAATATATTAATTTACTTACTTTAGTCTTGTTATCTCCTTCCCAGATTTTCGATGCTTCTCGAAAGCATTGGAATCTCTGCGACCATTTCTACCAATTCTCGAGTTTGTAAAATCAAACTGCTCTGGTGTAGTTAATTTAAACATTTTTTCTTTTCTTTCTTTTTTTTTTCGAATAAAAGATATTATTTTGCGAATTGGGTCCAGAAAAAATCCCCCTTTGACACCATGTTCCACTGGGCTTAGAGTGGAAAGACTGACCGCTGAAAAGACGAAGCAACACAAAGACGACACGACACGTGGTAAAATTAACAACTTATTTGTTCAAACTGCCCGCTGGACCCGTCTTGATCCCAGCATTCCCTAGTGGGACCTGAAGTCCTTATAATCATATGCTGACAATCTCGTGAAAGATAACGCATACTGGAAGAATGTCATTTAGAACTAGAGCTCTTTAGCCATGGAAATCTTGTCTATGTTTGGAGTAAGACAGAAAAGTCGTATAACCTAAAGAACACTGTCCCCAAAGGGAAACACAGTGACGGGTGTATATTGGTCTGAGGATGCTTCAGGGCACTCGGAATTGAGAAGAAATCGTGAAAAAAGAAGAATATGAGAAAAATTGGAAATAAATCTAAAGCAGTAAGCAGCAAAACTTGGTCTGGGTCGTCGTTTTGTCTTCTAACATGACAACGACCTGAAGCATATGTCGTCTCTGTCGAAGGACTACCACTAGAAGACTAAAGTGAATGATATTGACTGGCCCGCAAAAAGTCCCGATTTAAACCCTATATAAAATCTGTGGGATGAACGGAAGACCAGAATTCATGACAAAAAAAAAATCATCAAATTTAGGAGAGCTTGAAAAATTTGTCAATGGCAATACCATAAAAAAATTGCCCAAGACCTCTCGGCACCTACCCTTATGGGAACACCTCAGACGCCGGTCAGTAAACCCAACCCCTCTGGAAGGAGAGGTACTGCCTGAGGGGAAGGGTGTGAGCTTAATATTTTGGGGGCGTTGCATACGTGCAAACAATTCAGATGCAGAAGATTTTATTGGCTGGGATGCATATTTTCTGTTTAAATGAACCAATCGTAATTAAGTGTTCTAAGTGGCGGTCGACGCCATATCTTAACACTTTCATTTCGATCAGTATCTACAGGACATTTTCATTTGTTACAATTATTAACAACATATTTTCCTGCGGTTATTATTTGCCAATATCTTCTCACTGTAGTGCTGGATATAGTGAGCTTTAAATTCTTATTTCTCCTAAACAGACAGTTTTTTGTTTTTTTTTAAGATAGTTTCTTTTTCTTTGGTTCATTTTCTTGCTGCCAATCAAAAAGGAAAAGAGAATGCTTATTTTCTAACCAATCAGTGAAGAGAAAAACATTACTGTCCAATGAACAAGCATTTCATCTAACCCCCGTTTTTGAGACTACTCAAGAATTATAAACAAACAAGATTC